GAGGGTTAATATCATCCTTAAACAATGTTTTAATGACAGTGAATGGTAGAGTTAAAAACAAAGCTCTGTTCTAGCTACTGCCAGTGCAAAGCATTTTTTTTCCCCACTCATGGGACATGAGCATCTCTGGCTGATCAGCATTTGTTGCCCATTCCTAGTTGCCCTTCAGGAAGTGGTGGTGAACTACCTTCTTGAACTAGGCCACAAGTTGTAGACTGGCCACAATGCCCTTAGAGAGTGCATTCCAGGATTTGGACCCAGCAACAGCAAAGGAATGGCGACGTTTCAAATCAGAATGGGGAGTGCCTTGCAGGAGAACTTACAGATGGTGCTTCCATATACCTGCTGCCCTTGTCCTTCTAGATAGAAATGGTTGTGGGTTAGGAAGGTGCTGTCTAAGGATCTTTGATGAATTTTTGCACTGCATCTTTTGAGATAGTCCACACTGCTGGTGGATGTGGGCTGCTCTCAGCTGGATGAGGTCAAGCTTCTTGAGCAATGTTGGAGCTGCACTCATGCAGGCAAATAGGGGATATTTCTTTGCACTTCTGACTTGTTGATGGCGCACTACCACTTCCAGAAGTGAGTTACACTGTAGTGTTACTAGCATCTAACCTGCTCTTATAGCCAATGTTTATATGGTGAGTCCATTTGAGTTTCTGGTAAATGGTAACTACTAGGATGTTGGAAGTGAGAGATTCAGCGATGTTAGCACCATTGTGAGTCAAGGGAGAATGCCTAGATTGTCCCTTATTGGAGACGGTCATTGCCTGGCATTTGGGTGGCATGAATGTTGCTTACCAGTAGTCAGATCAAGTTTAGATATTGTCCAGATGTTGTTCCATTTAAAAAAAAATTCTGCTTCACTACCTGAAGAGTCATGAATGGTGCTATTGATTGTGCAATCATTGGCGAACATCCCCACTTCTGACCTTATGATAGAGGGAAGGTCATTGATGAAACAGCTGCAGAGCTATCAAGAAGACTGACCTCCAACAGACACAACCATCTTCCTACATTCCAGAAATGCTCCTCACCAGAATTTACCCCCAACACCCACTGATTTTAAGACAGAAATTGCTGATAAAGCTCAGCAGGTCTGGCAGCATCCGTGAAGAAGAATCAGAGTTAACAGTCAGTGCTGAGGAAGGATCACCAGGCATTAGCTGATTTCTCTTCACAAAGTGCCAGACCTTCTGAGCTTTTTCAGCAACATGTTTTGGATTTACAGCATCCACAGTTCTTTCAGTTTTTAACCCATTGATTTTAGTTTTTGTGAGAACTCTGATGCCACACTCAGTCGAATGTGTCTTTGATGTCAAGGGCTGTCACTCGCTACGGTTTTTTTTTTAAAAAAACTGATAAATAATGCAAAATACTACTTCAGATTTTCACAGGCTTGTTCAAACATTTATGTATACTAGATGATCACCAATGTTGTCAAATCAAAAATTAATGTGGCATAAGCAAAAATGACTAACGCAAGACAGATGCCCACTCAACTGTTGTTGCATTTCAATAATGTGAAATGGAAATAAAATCAACAACTTTTTGGTACCCTAAAAATTACTTACATAGAGTGTTTCCTCTATGAGGTGTCCTACTAAATATGTTAATTTTAAGTAATTCTGCTATTTAACTTGCACAATCCCAATGATTATAGTTATATCCTATCTTATAACTGCTAGAGCCATACAGCAGAGAAACAGACCTTCCGGTGCAACTAGTTCCAAACCAAACTAGTCCCACCTACCTGTGTTTGGCTCATATCCCTCCAAATCTTTTCTATTCATGAACTTATCCAAATGTCTTTTAAACATTGTAACTATCAAAACCTATGAACTGCCAGAGGCAAAGTGGACATTCCGAATTTTTTTTTTCATTAAAAGGCTATCAGCCTAAGGCTCACCATGTCCTTTCCCCTGTTACAGTATAGGCAACAAATACATAATCTGCCAAATCCTATTCTCAAAGTGCCTGTCCAAACCTGTCGGCCAATTCTTACTTGAAGGTGGATTCTTGTTTTAAAATCTGGCTTTTGACCATTGTACCAATTTTTTTTTTTTTTTTTTTTTTTAAAACTGCAGTCTTCCTTTTTTCATCATCTTTGTGATGTGTCTTGCTTATACATTAAAGGTGATTGATTTTAAAATCAAAATGCAAAAGCAGTTTCCAATTAAGTTTATAAAGCTTCCCTCCAACTCTGACTTGGTTCTATGCCACATTGTTAACCTACCCTGCAAGTTTTAGTCTGGTATTGTGCTAAACTTGTAGTGTGCTTGTACAAAATTTGTAAAGCAAAGCTGCAAGTGTGTAACACAACCTGAACAAGGAAAGACAAGCACAAACTGATAGTTCAAGTGAAAAATGCCTAGTTACTGATTGTTGGGTTGAAGTTTTGTAGTTTTTTTTTAAAAAAAAATCTTCCACTGCATTGCTATGTTTTTCTACATAAAAAGTGTCAGTCACTCTAGACTGAAAGCTTTTTGAATGCCTTTAAGTAGCATTCGAAATCTCTCACCCTCCCCAAATATGTATGTGGACAGATAGGTTAAAACTAGGTTTGAAGTATATATGAAATGCTGCAGTCCATTAAAATGGCCAGTTAGATCCTGAGGTGGGCCTATTTGAGCATTGGCCCAGAATTAGGCTTTCGTTACACAGGAAATTATATTTGGATGGAATTTCTATAGAGGCCACATCATTACAACTTATTTATTCAACTCTACTATGGTTGCAAATTGAAGAATTCAGCTGAAACTAGTATAATTCCTATAATTCCCTCTAACTTCTACTTGCATATTATTATGCACATGGGTAAGAGGTCAGTGAATAAAGCTTCCATGTTGCAAGGTAAATACCCTGAAAGAACATTTTAACATTACAACTAATTCAGATTACAGTACATGAAATCAGCCAGTCAACTTGATGACTTCTACTTAAATAGGCACCCCTCAGCAGATAGCTGGCCTTTTTATTGGACTGCAGGATCTCACATACTTCAAACCTAGTTTTAACCGATCTGTCCAATATACCCATTGGGGGAGGGGGAGGGGGAGATTTGGCATGCTCCTCAAAGGCATGCAGGAAACTTTCAGTTGAGAGCAATTGACACTTTTTACATAGAAAAATATAGCAAGGCAAGTGAAAGATAGCCTTTTAAAATTAAATCTAAAAGGAAGCTTTAAACCAACAATCAATAACTAGTTCAAAATGAAAAATGCCTATCACTCTGTGCTTGTCTTTTCTTGTTCAGATTGTGGTACACACTTGCAGCTTTGTTTTACAAATTTTGTACAAGTTTGGCACAGTACCAGACTAAAAGTTGCAGGGTAGGTTGGCCGTGTGGGATAGAAAAGAAGAGCTGGAGGCAAGCTTCACAAACTCAAAAGTGCAAAAGCAGTTTCCAATTATCAATCACCTTAAAAAGTATAAGCAAAACACAAGACATGTCACAAAGATAAGGAAAAAAGGAAGACTGCAGTAAAAAAAAAATTGGTACAATGGTCAAAAGCCAGATTTTAAAACAAAAATCCACCTTCAAGTAAAGATTGGTCGACAGGTTTGGTCAGGAAATTTGAGAGTAGGATTTGGTAGATTAAGTATTTGTTGCCTATACTGTAACAGAGGAAAAGGACTTGGTGAACCTCACACTGATAGCTTTAATTATTGCTCTTTAATGGAAAAAAAGGAAAAATTCTGTGCGTTCATTTTATTAAAACCTTCCATTATTTCCAATGTATCTTTTAAATCACCGCTCAGCCTTCTTTTTTCAAGAGGCCCATCCTTTTTCTGAGATTTCTACCAATGTATTTCTGGCATTGTTTGTGTAAACATTCTCTGCAATCTCTCTGATGCTTCTCGATCCTGGAGGCTATACTCCAAGTGGATGTGACCTAGGCTTGATACAGGTTCAGTATAATTTCACATTTTTCAATTTTATCCTTCTAGAAGGAAAAGAAAACAGTTGCTTTCTTAAAAGATGGACCAGGTGACCTGAAGTGCAGCTTTGAGTCATTGGTGCATTTGTACTCGAGACTTTTTCCTTGAGCCTCACACCTTTCAAGTAATAAGTGGGCTCCATATTTCTCCTACCAAAATTTTCTACCTCAATTCATTTGCACATTTTTGCCCATTCTTAATGTTTAACATAATTATGTAATTATTTGCAGTTGTTCTTAGTATTGGCTATGCCCTTAAGACCCCAATCCCTCCCCCAACTGATGCTGGTTCCAAATCTCAAAATGGCACTCTTAATTTCAAAGGCAAAACTGTTAATGCACTGATCTTTGTGCAATTTCACTTCCTTCTGCCACTCTGAATAAGCACCTTATACACCCAACTTTGTATCGGTCTTAATTTAACCAATAATTATCATTAGTAATCTATTTGACCACTTGTTCTTAAATCTAACTTTCCCATTATCAGTTCAGTACAATTTCTTCAATACTGTTACTGCCAATAACTCTGGTTGATTTCATGAAATTACTAACCTCGATAAAACAGCTGCCAGCAATATTCCATTAAAACTAACCCAAAATACCAACGTGCTTGCTAAGATAAAGATCCATCAGCTGGGATATTTAACTCCAACCTGAAGTGTTTATTTGGAAAGCAGAGTCATAAAACAGTATTAAATAGGCATATGTGAAATGCAGTTGAACCTTTTGTCTTGAACCATTTCAAATGCAGAAACAGCTGGACTCCAAACAGTGTTTTCTTATTCAATTTCTGTCATCTTCTGTACTACCAAATTCAGTCATACATTAAGACACTCAGTTTATAGGAAGTTTCCAATTGCAAATTATTCCCACAAAAAAAAAACAATTGAGGTACAGTGACCATCACAAACAGTCATCTTTTCAATCATTTCAACACAGTAGCTACAATACTGCTGAGTGCAATGTTATATATTATAATCACATGCTAGAAATGCCTCAGTCCCGTACCCCAAAAAAACTAAGGAATTGCACAGCACATTAATATTCAAGGCCTCAGTATTAGAAACTTTTAAGAGGATTAGGATTTAATTTGTTACAATTTTATACACTACTTTACAAAATGCAATTTACTATTTACAGATTACATTTCATAGTGTATGGACTTTCAAATGAATATTTGTGGTCCCAGATACTGTTACAGCAGGTTTTGCAGCATCAACTTGTTCACTAATTTAAACAATTCTGTATTAAAAAGCATGTCTGTAAAATACATATGTCCCAATGATTTCAAAAGTTTTTGTTTTCTTCAAGTAGAAATATCAGACATGGCAGGCAATGTTACAGACTCTGCCTATTAGCATATTAGAATCATTCAAACTTAAATATCAAGACAAATTTAAAAAAGGTGATGCACATGATACTCCAAGCACAAAGGTGTGGTAATATTAGCAATACAGCAACAATATAAATCACATTTTACCATATGTTGTGAATTACATAAATAAGTCACTTTTGCATAAATCTGTATTTTCCTAGTAAAAAAGGAAAAACTAGAAAAATATAGCAAATTTAAGATAATGTTACATTGAACATGGTCATATTTAGCTGATTCAAGACCAGGTACAATGATACAGGAGAAGCAATTACAGGTGACAAGACCAGAATCTAAAAACGGCTCTATCAGCATATAAGATTACAAACAATGACTTCAAGTCTGTCCTATCTTTCTAAATTGCCAGGTGTAAAGACCACATGTACCGAAATAGTGATAAAACGTCACTGTTACATTGTGTATCCTTTACAAGCATTTCTTGTAGTGCTCTCTTCTTTGGAGGGCAGGAGAAAGGAGGAGGACAAGTTGAACCATTGCTTGATTTGAAATCAAAAGTTTACATCAAACTCGACAGTGATGATTTCTTCTAGTTTCCACAGCTTTTACTACAGAATATTTGAACCATGCTTACACCAGTGTGTGACATTTAAAACAGCCCAAACTCCCAAAAGGTAGAAATCCAAAATCTTATGAACAGAACTGGTACACCTAGGTTTTCACAACTGTATGCAGCTAGATTTAACATAAAATGGCTTCATTCTATTTATAATTTCTTTTCATCCAACCCATTAAAAGTTTCCATACTGTGTGGAAATTGTAGATTGGCTCAATGCAAGCTAGAATATGCTTGATTTACAAGGATACCAATATTTAATTTTCTTATTAAGCATATATAAATACTGGTACCCTTGTACCAATATGAGCTGTCTCCACCCAGCAGAAGCTTGCACTTCTTTTGTGGATCATTTGTTCACTTGCTGTTGTATGTGAAGTAGGAATTCATAATAAGACAATGCTGACTCTGTCCGATCTTCAACCATGTTCTGTAGGAAGCCGGCCTTAAGAGGACTTTCATCCCTGTGCCAAGGAAATAAGTGAAATGTCTCAGTTACAAATACTAATTTGAATTATTTGCACGTGTAACACATTTAAAAGAGAATTTAGAAAGTGCTAGGATACATAAGCAAGTGTATTTTAATGTTTCAAACATCAGCTTAAAAAATATAGCCATCTTAACATTTAGATAGGAAAAGAAAATTAAAATAAAAAGGGTCTCTCTGATCACCTATCATTTCAGTAGCTACAAAACATGTTATTTCTTGTTCAGGGCTAGAAGCCATTGGCAAAATCAAAATGAGCTATTGCATTTTAGGACGACAAAATATCTGTAAAATTAAAGCTTGAACTCTAAATTGGCGTAAGACGCAATTTTGCAACATTTGATTGTTTCAGAACTTTTCTGCTGTAATAAGAGAATTGCAAATATCCTTAATCATCTAAAACTTAGTGTATGCACTTTAGACTTCAAAGATGCATTCAGAGAACATAACGTTGCTTCCTTTAGAAATTCAAACCTCGCGAATCTTGTAAAAGACATGACACCTCTTTGCCTCACTCAAGCTATTCAAAAGCTTTATCCAGTTGCCACTTTCTCTGAATAGGACAGCACTTGTTATATTCAAGGTTCAGTGCAAGATATGCTAAAACAGAAACAGGAACTTCATTCTAAACATGATCAATTTCTCACAATGGAGTTGTTCATATAAAACATACAGAAAGCGTAGAAAGCATTTCATTCTCAAGAGAACACATCACCAACGTTTAATATTTTCCATTCCTGGAAAGTCCCTTCTATTCAACACATCAGGTGTCAATTTCTTTTGCAGAAAGGAGGTAACTTCTGCATTTAATACAAAAGATTGTCTGCACAGATTTTACATAAATTTGAATTTCATTGACATAATTTTAATAGGAATTCTGTTTCTTGCTCCCCATCCTGGAAAAAAACGTTTAAATAATTTCCCATTCCTAGTTGCTCTTGATGAGACCACAATGGTCTCACCTTAAATTGCTGCAGTTCCTATGTTAAGATACTCCCACATTTCCGTTGGGAAGGCAGGAGGAAGACTATACAAAGAATTAAAAATAATGAATGATCAAGTAAGGATGCATGCAACTTTGGAGGCTCCCATGCACCCACTGTCCTTGTTGTTCAAGGTGACCGAGGTCATAGGTCGAGGAGGGTAGTGGGCTGAAGAACCTGCAACAACACATCCTGCAAATGGTTTACAATGTAGCCACTGTTGATAGACAGAGGGAGATGGTTAGACTTGGCTGGTGCCAATTAAACAAACTGCTTTGTCTCGGATGGCGTCCAGTCTTAGTTGCTACTGCTGGAGACAACTGCTTTCAATCATGCAGAGTAATTCCTCATCCTTTTCACTTGTGTCTTGTAGATGGTGAAACTTTAGAGGATGACTAATGAGTTGAATACCCAGCCCTGTGAATATCCATTTCCTAAAATATTGTCAACACTCCATGAAGCCAGTGTGATTTTGTCCCACCCATTGCACAAAGGCTGCATGACAAAACTCACCAACAACGCCTGTGTTGGCAGTTAGTACTCTCGCCAAGTTTCCTTCATCTTTCTGTGGTTTTCAAAACTAATTAACCAACTGTCACCATCTTCCACTGCATCAACGTTACACGTACCAATATGAACATAGCCATAGCATATGCTGCAGTAGTTTCCTTTCCTGCATCTAGGGTCACCAAGGGTAATTTAAGTTCCACCCTTGGCCTTCTCCTGTTCCTCAGTCTCATTAGCCGTATGCAAAGTATGATCTGTTCTGTGCCATCATCTCAACACTGCCAAGTAATACTTGCAACATCAGTCTGCAGGCAGGGCTGAGGGAGACTGTAAGGAAAGCAACATACTTTGGGGTATAAACATAAAAGTAACTTGGCCAGGTCAATTATTCCCAAATAAACCTGTCCAGCATGTATTAGAAAAAAAAAATTACTCCTGAGCAGTGGAGGTCACTGACAAGTCCAGCACTTTATCGCTCATCCTAAATTGCCTCTGAGAAGGTAGTACTAAGTTACTAACTTGAACTACTGCAGGCTGTGGCAGTCACATCTACAGCATTGTTACAGGGAAACTTCCACAATATTGGCTCAACAATAAAAGCACAGTGATTTCTAAGCCTGAACGGTGCCTCACTCGGAGGGAAACCTTCCCACATTCTCACACATCTGCTGCCTTTGTTATTTTGTGCATTAGGAGGTAATCAGTTTGGTAGGTCATATCAAGGCATGGGTGCAACAGTTAGTATACATGCAGCCAGAGTGCCAATGATGGAGGAGTTACAGATGTCAATCAAGTCAGCTGCTTTAACTTGGGCAATGGCGAAGTTTGAATATTTTACATTTGAAGCTAGTGTTTTTTTAAAAGAAAAAAACAAAATAAAACCCAAAAAACTGCAAATACTGTAAATCAGAAACAAAAATAGAAATTGCTGGAAGAGCTCAGCAGGTCTGGCAGCATTTACGGAGAGAAATCAGACTTAACATTTCGGGTCAGGTATCTCTTCCCATGAAAAACTGATCAACAAAAAGCTGGAAAGATATCAGAATTGAGAGGTTACACTTGAGAGGAAAGATAAAATACATTAAAAAAAACTGAACGGATTTTGTTCTGAAAAAGATGGAAGTGTGGCCTTACAGTGATCTTTAAAAACATGGAAGAGTTTGATAAGGTAGCTGCATGGAAGGCATTTCCATTGGATGAGCATAAAACCAGGAGGCCATAAGTTTACGAGTCATTAATAAACCCAGTAGGAAATTCAGTAGAAAATTCATAATTTAGATTGTGGTTTACATGTGACATTCACAAAAACTTAGCACTTCAGGTTATTAGCAAAATGCATGTAAAGGGAAGCTAGATAAATACAAGAGAGAGAAAGAAAAAAAGAATAAAGATATGATGCATTTAGAAGGGTTGGAGCAATAGTGTGTGGACCAGCATCAACATATCCACCGAATGTTTTTGGTCTGTAAAGACTTGACAACTCGTGTAATAAAATGCATAACTTACTTAATTACATAGAGTACAGGAAAAAATGGTCTTTGCTCTCGTAACCAGGAGACGAAAGTTCTAGTTCGCTTAGATTCAGCAGTGTCCAGCTCTGGAAGCTGTATCTGTTCAATAGAAAACAAAATGGAGATAAATTTTAAAAAACCATACCAAAAATAACACTAGTGACATATTAAAGCTGGAAAGAACTAATGAAAATGAAACCCATTGTGGCAGATGGTGAAATTTGAATTCAATAAAAATCTGGAATTAAAAGCTAGCCTGATGACCATTGCTGATTCCCATAAATATCTTTCTTGTTCATTAATATGTTTGAGGGAAAGACAACTGTACCCTTACCTAGTCTGGTCTACATGCAACTCTAGCCCCACAAAAATGTGGTTCACTCTCAACAGTCCTCTGAAATAACGTAAACAAGCTAATCAGCTCAAGGGCAATTACAGGTGGGTAAAGGCCAAGTTGCCACAGTCCAAGAGGACTATGGAACATTGGATGGGCAATAAATGCTGACACTGCCTGTGGTACTAAACCCCACGCATGTACAAAAAGTAATTGGAAAGATATGTTGACGTTCTGACAATAGTTCAAAGCTAGGGAATGAAGAGCTGCACATAAACTGACAGCATCTGTTTCATAATGCAAGATACTTGCAGCTTGCAATTATACCAGATCTTCAACTTAAGCACCATAGAGACACAAGGAAAATACATTTTACCTTTAAAATTTAGTATGTACCAGACCTACCATGTTTTGTGGTATGGAAAGGTAACTGGAAGCACCAAGAACTTCGCTCACAAAGTTTGGACAACATTTCTTTCCAACCCAAAGATAGAGAGCCTGAAAGACACAAGTTGACTGAAAATTAACTTAGCTATAAATGTGGCAGTGTGAACAATCTCATCGTTCTTGATCCAAACCCAAGTATCAGCCTAACACAGGCTAAAACTAATTACATCAGATAAACAGTTCTTGCTGAAACCTGTTTGGACCAATTTTAGATGAAGACTTTCAAGTGACATGAGCATTAATAAACAGCTTGCTCAGAGGCCAAATGGAAAATGGGAGAATGGAAAAATTCCCACCTAAGCAACAGAGTGCATGAGATTCCATTCAAGATGTGTTGCTTGTTAAAATGCTTAATCTTCCACAGGTTACTTAATCAGAGAACCCTTCATACTGACCAGGTGAAAACTGTTTTCCATTAGTACATTCCTCACCTTAATCAGCGCAAAAAACACTTTATAAAAAGCGATGCACACTGAACCTTCTATGGTGCTCTGTACTGTAAAACTGTGCAAACTGAAACTTAATAAAATGCTTAAAATCAGATTTACCATAAGCATATTACACTTTTGCTAAAACAGTATTTACTGTTATCCAAATGTAACAACTTCCCTGAGCAAAATTATTCAAAACAAACTTGCAATTTGGTGAGAACTAGATTTCAATATGGGACTGAATTTGCAGTAGCAGTCTTCAGTGTGCTCAGGATCAACAAGTAACCCTTCAATCCAACACTGACTAAAGACGATGTTGAGAATTCTTTTAAAATCACATGCATATAAAAATGGCTCAATTCTGACTTAAACTCGAGATGGAATCGAGATGGCTTGTTGAAGATGGTCATTGCCTGGCACTTGTGGCAGAAATGTGACTTGTCCACTTGTCAGCCCAAGCCAGGACATTGTCCAGCTCTTGCAGCATTTGAACATGGGCTGCTGATGGGTCACAAATGGTGTTCAATATTGTGCAATCATCACCAACATTCTGACTTCGACATTACGACCGTGGGAAAGTTATTGCTGAAGCATCTGAAGAGGTCAGGCCTAGGACACTATCCTAAGGAACTCCTGCAGAGGTGTCCTGGAGCCGAGATGACAGATTTCCAACAAGCACAATCATCTTTCTTCGTGTTGGATGTGACGCAAAGCGAATAAGAGACTCCCTTAACCCCTTGATTCCCATAGACTGCAGTTTTGCGAAGCCTCCATACAATCACTCTCATTTCACCGCTGAGATTTCAACTTTTTTTGTCCATGTTTTGATCAAGGCTGTAATGACCCTGGCCAAACCCAAGTAGAATATCAGTAAGCAGGTTATTGCTAAGCAGCTGCTGCTTGGTAGCATTATCGATAACCTCTTTCATCACTTGACTGCTGATCGATAATAGGCTGATGGGGCAGTTATTGGCCAGGTTGGATTTTCCCTGCTGCATGTATACAAGACATAACTGGGTAATTTTCCACATTGTCAGGTAGATATCAATGCCGTAGCTGTACTGGAACAGCTTGGCTAAGGGCATGGCAAGATTTGAGGAACAAGTCTTCAGTACTATTGCTGGAATATGGTCAGGACCCATAACCTTTGCAGTATATAATGCCTTCTGGACATAATTATGGCAAAGTTGTTGCACGACTAATCGGAGACACAGCTCCCTAATTTTGGCATGGTTGGCAAACCTGAGTAAACCCTTCATTATTCCGTCTGGTGCCCAATTTAATGCAGATTGGACTACATGCTTCATTCTCTTTGAAGCATTCACAGCAGGATTCAAACCTAGGTCCAGCTTTTCACCATGTACCTCAGTGACTTGCATGTACAGAGACCCATTTGCAAATGGGGTGATGTTATAATAAGTGGCCAGGTTATGTTGAAAAGGAGCAAGAAATTGCAAAGGAACTCAAATCAGTAGGAATAACAAAGTTAGATAGATTTCAATGTTGGAAAGAAGTTTTCTACTTTTGATTTGAGACCAAGTGACAACTGACTAGGAGTTGTGGGGGAGCAAAAGCTTTTGAGGCACCCAAATAATTAAATGTCGCAGAAGTATAGATTAATCAAAAGGTCCAGTACTGTAGTGTTGATTATCACAAGAGTACCAGAGTACACTTTAGATAGGACCTCTTAGCTCCTGATAGAGTAGGCTATTCATTTTGAGCACAGCATCACCGGAAGTATTGGCAAAGTACAAATTCACCCAAATTTCATCAGGATTATAAAGGGTTAAAATATTAGATCAGGTTGCACAAAATTGGTTTGTAAGCCGTAGATTGATGATGATTGGCATCATTCAATTGATGATAAAATGTTTAAATAATATAGATACAGACAAACGATTTTATCTGCTGGATAAGCCAGAACAAGACAGCTTAAATTTGTGGTTAGAAATAGGCTATTGAGAGGTGAATTCAGGCAGCATATTTTCACACATCTGGAAATCCAGAACTTTGCTCAAAAAGCTACAAACGATGGTCTATTTGAAATGTCAATGCTTCTAATCAAAAGAATTTTGCTTGGTGAGACTGAACGGAATTGAGTACAGATTTCCTTGATTGGCTAAACAAGTTGGGGAAGCTAAATGGCTTACAACTCTTTCAAACAGGCCAAGTCACTTGGATTACATGAATGCTCAGGCAATATTTAGGATTCATATTCAACAGAATAAAAAGGAGGAGAAAAATCCTTTAACTTTGATCCCTTCAATGCTTTTAGTCATATTTGGTTAATCTTTCATCAACACTCTTGTTTAGCTGAATGGCACAAATCAAAGAAACTGCTCTCCAGCCCAAGCAGGCAAGCAAAAGTTGTCCAGCACGTCACTAAAATTAATTATTGCCACTACTAACTGCAAAACCCTCATACCCAAATCAGTTGCACGCCAAACACTATGGTCATAAAACAACAATAATCTATGGCCGACTTAACACATGATTATCAAAACTATGTACTGGGTCAGCTATATCCAGGAAGTCAGGAAGAAAGCAATTATCAAGATACCCTATTAATAACTTGCGACTTAGTGCCTGGCCTCTAACTAAGTTAGCAGGTGCTTTTCATTTGTCATCATTGTTGAAAGGCTGAAAGCATAGCAGCCAATTTGTGCATGACACGGTCCCACAAAGCAATCAAACAACTAATTGGAATATCTGGCTTAGGCATGGGTTGAAGGATAAATTATATTAGTTTGGCCAAGATCACAGGACATGTTCCTGTCCAATTCAGATAGCATCAGGAGCTCTCATCTATTACAGGAAGCTGTCGGAGCTGGGGTTAAAATCTCAGCTAAATGACAGCTGACAACGTGGCTCTCCCTCAGTCTTGGAGTCTCTGGAACGGACTCAAGGTTGTTAGAATGACAGTGCAATCACTTCACTAAGGATGAAGCCTATATTGCTACCAACTGGCATTCACTCAGTTTTGGAACTTCAGAGAGCAGTCTCAGGAGGATCCCAGAAAAGTGTCATAAACTGAAGGAGGAACAAGTAGAAATATGATCATGTGTTTCCGCTGGGTGCTCTGGTTTCCTCCCAAAGATATGCTGGTCAGATAGATTAGCCATGCTAAATTTCCCATAGTGTCCAGGGATGTGCAGGCTAGGTGGATTAGCCATGGGAAATGCAGGGTGACAGGGTAAGGGAACGGGGTCTGAGTGGGATGCTCTTCAGAGGGTGGGTGTGGACTCAATGGGCTGAACGGCCTGCTTCCACACTGTAGGGATGCTATGATTCTATTTCAGTTCTGCATTACTTTTGGCAAATCATAAGTAACAGCAAATTCTTAAAACCAACCATGTTTGTTCAATAGAAGACTGGTGAAAGTAGACCAAAATAACAATATAAATATCACTTACAGTGCCAGCATCCATTAAGAAGGCACCATCCCTGCTTAGTTTCTCCACAGACAGCTGGAGAATTGGTGGCTGAGGTATGGTTTTATCATTAATGTTAATGGATCCCTGCAACAAAAACACAATGCATTAAACTGCAGCACAAAGTTGCTCAATATTTTAAGAATTTAACAAATGGGTTAGTACAAAGGCATTACCTCATCTGACAGATTGTCAATCCTGTACAGATTTGGATGAATCATAAGCATGAGGTAAGACACAGGCTGGTATTTAACTTCACACATGGAAAACACTCGGTCATCTAGTCTTGTACTAGTTCCAGTTCTGAAAGCTTTCTGTAATAAAGACAGATAGTTGTTAACTATTCTAAGCATAGGTAAACAACACTTCAACTTGCCATTGTGTAAAATTATAACTTGGTATCATATTAAATCATGTTCTAATCACTGCTAAGAAACATGAAACTTAGATACTTGTGCTATAAAATTTGGTCAAAGTTGGCACCCTGATGCAAAGTGATTTGCAACACAAGCAGGAAGAACAGTTGCATAATTAATGTTTGACACTGCAGTTAAAAGAATAGCTTAGAACAATGCTCCAAGTTGACTGTAATTTAGCATTTTCTCAAATATATATGCATGTTCAGCTTTGGAAAGTTCATTCTTTAACATATCTTACGCATTTTTGCAAAGAAGTTTTTCTTCAGAGGATAATCATCGATATCACTTAGTTATGCACAGTGACATTCGTTGATGCATGAATAGGATCTAATCAGATTAATCAATTGTATTTCATTTCGGCGGACAAATCTTGTAGTAGTTTAAGGGGGCTAACTTTATACTCCGGTGTACTATTTCCAACATTCATAATATAGATATTCAACATTTATGAAGATACAGCTGCAAGATGAATGCATAAAAATCAACAAGGAGAAAGGTCTTTATTCTGAATTGACATTTTCATGTACTGTCAAAGTATTTTTGAAAATTTGTTCATATCCTGGTGAAGGAAAAATGTTTCCTTCATTTCTTTTTGCAACATCTGACATTAGTAAATAGAATTCCCAAAGCTGTAAATTTGAGATATCTCACAAATTAAAAGGGCTGATTGAGCTCCTAAATATTTTTTAGGTATAGATCTCCTGATCGTAAGCATCAACTTGTTAGAAGTTCTCTTCAGCAGTGTAACAAAGTGGAGAATGTTCATAATTGTAGACGTGCTTCATGTCACGGATTGTTCTGTCGAACTACTGAAGCCTGCAAAGAGCTCCTACCTACTGAAATGCCAGATGATCATTTCTCGATGCAGCATGATAGCAAAAGGCTTCCCCCGAGCCTCAACGAGTGAGGTCTGTTTCCTAATGCAGCATGGCTGCTTCTCATTGTAAAGCAGAGCATCTAATCTTTATCACACTACTTTTTATAGGAACTTGCCTTACACAAATTAAATTGCCTACATTAGTAAAATGAAAATCTATTGTAACATGTCACCATGGCCCAAAAATTGAGATGACATAATAAACAATAGTGGATAGATGCTCCATGTAGCATAAGTGTGCCAAAGAGGTTTCAGACAGCCATGAAATCCCCATGCTACAATGCATTGATTTGCGCTAAATTGGACTTCCACTGTACATGTTACAAAGCACTTGGGAACATAAAGGCCTTTAAAGAATGCCATATAAATGCAAGCCCTTTTCACTAAATAATGAAGTCTCAGCTGCAGAGTTTAAATTATTTCCAGCTGAGTATCAGGAATACTGAAACCCACTTATGCATTTCTGCCATGATTCCTCATCCTTTGTTACTGACCATATTGAATCTCCCATTAATCAACCTAAGACAGAGCTTTAACACTTGCATTCTATCCTTCACTAAGATTATTTACTTTCACGCTTTAAAATCACTCAAAACTGCAATCACGTAAGCCCTGCTAAAAAGCCTTGGTTGTTTCGAGTTTCAATTTCTCTGCTATTTACCTTGAAAGTCTCCTACTCCCTACCTTCCATGCAGAAATATATAAAAGTTGCCCTAAGTTCTCATGCCAAGAGCTCCTCACTGCCTTCACCAACCTGTGTTGGCCCCAGTGCACAGAACACAATCCTGATTCACACCTTCAAATTCCTCCAAAGTCTCAACCAACCTAGTTCTGGCAACATCCCCAACCCAGATTACCATCGCTCCCATCCATTCTGTCTTCAGCCACCGGAATTTCAGCACCATCTCTTGCTTTAAATCCAAGATTTACAACCTTCAGTTTACTCTGAATTTGTTACAGAATTGAAACAGCATCTTTAACACACATTTTTACACTTTTACTTATGAAAATGCACACTACAAACATGTTCCTCTGAACCCTGACCATTGCAGTTTGTTTGTTCCTAGTATAGGAGTACAAATGAAACCCTTGTTGATACTAATCATGTGCTTACAATTAAACATTCAACTAATTGCACAACTGACAATTCTCTAAAACTAATTGCTCTTCAGCCTCACTACTTTTCAAAAGTATTCTGAAAACCCATTTTCAAGTTTTCAATCATTCCCATAATGCTTCCACCATCAACGCAATGTACATTTTCAGTCTATTTATTGTTTTATTTTTTCTCACATTCAAGAGTCATGGGATTCTTTTCAATTTAAGATTTATGTTAGTGCAGATTATGATTGAGAGAGGCAACAGATTTGAATCAATATGGGCAGCACTTGTCTTCTAGGTAGGAAGATGATGTTGGGGTGAAAGGGAAAACAAAAAAAAAAGTATAATGGTAAATATTGGGCTTTACCCAAATTGATGGAGCACTTCAGTTAGCCCTATTTGAAGTCCATGACAATGAATACTCTGCAAAGGGTTCAAAGAAAAAATTTAGGTACCTTGTTCCAGGAAAGAGGTATTGGAAGAAATAGAGGTATTCCATACCTGTTTCAGTAGGGCTAGCACATAGAGGGGAAACAACCGCAATGAAGAGGGAGCCATTACACCTGGCTGTTGCTGCTGTTGTTGGCTTAAAACTGAAGTACGATAAGTAGAAAGCGAATCAATCACAGCATTAACCAGAGCGTCTCTTGCATCACTCAAACTTGATGAAATTGATCGATCAACAGCTAAATGAAGAAGGAGGCAAGACAGTGTTGCAATAAAAGCAGACATCTTTCATCATTTTTTACAAACAGTAGAAACAATACTCTAGCTCATTAGCAAACTGTAAATGGTCAATGCAGTTTAAAAAAAAATACAAATTTCTCCCGGCAATTTCACATACAGACCTTTCAACTATTAGCTTAATTAGCACGACTGGATAACAAGCCAGTGCGCTGTCAGAATTGGTCTGATTTTTGTAAGTTTATTACTTATTTAAACAGATATTTAAAAAGAGTCTCAATAAAATGAAGCTTACAAAAAACCTGATAAGTGTTAACGTTAGGATCTATGAAAAGATCTTGAACTTCTGCTAGAGGGGGAAAAAAACTGTACTAATTTCACATGACAGCAAGCATAAAGCATTACCTGTTTAATGGAAACAGCCTTAAAATATAACTTACAGTAGTCTCCATGCACAGACTCACTAATATCCACATGCTGTCAAAAAACACTAGAACAAGCCAATCGACCTATGGTACTTAAAATCATACAGTATAGAAGTGGATCTTCGGCCCATTGAGAATTGACTGCCAAAGCTACACTTTAAACATTATGACGTTACTTGTCAGGGAGGTAAGTAATCTGTACAGTTGAACTATGGTACTGAAAAACCAGTGTAACATTTTAAAAACTTGAATATTGTGAATGTGGAAACTCACTCTATTTTAACTCCCAAAATTTTAACATCCTCTAAAATGATGCTATTGCAAATAGTCTATTGCAATTTACCCAAATTAGAACATTTGACACCATCTTTATTTGCATGCATAGTAAAAAAACTGGTCAGAATTGAAACACATACCCATGCTGGCCAGCAGACACGTTACAGCCTGAACATCAGCTCCTGCATAGATGTCTGACAGGGAGTTCACAACAGGTAGACACATGGTATGAACACGAATGCGACGTTCACCTGCAAAACACAGTTAAGTTGTTTTTAAAACAAAAACCAGTTTGACTTACTTCCATGCTGCGCTCGTTAGGCCAAAAAAAACGATTAGACTTCACTCTGTACCTCTTGCACCCACTTAGCTATGAGCATTCACATAAAGAATGACCATTCGATACAAGCAGTCTGGAGGGTGGGGCACAGAGGGAGGGGTACGACTGTGAGAAAAATGTGAAGTCCAAGATATTAAAAGTAGACTTTAAAATAATGCTTAAAGCCTGCAAGGTCCAAACAAGGCCGCACCATGGAGCCTGATGGAGTTAAAAGGTATAAATTATGGGAAACGCAGGAAGCGGAACTGAAAACCAGTAAGAAAAAAGGAAGACAGTGTGTGTTTCAATCTCAGCTACAGTTTCTCAGGGCTGAATTGAGTAATAAAATTCCAGCAGATTTTGTTCATACAGCTTCTGTACACCAATTTGAATGTGTCACGCACTCTCGGCATTTCTTCATTATAGGAAGATTGTACTTATTAATTGCAGGCCCACTAATGGCTAATTAGGTCTGCGACCACTAGCATATTCGCCCACAGCAAGTGGAAGTGGAAGTGCAGTCACTGCTGGGGATAATTAGATCTATTTTTACCTCCTTTCTTGTTCATGCTGATTCTTGGCTCACCCTCAAAAAAGTTTGCACAATTCCAGAAGTAGCATCACCGGGCATCACAATCTACATTTTAGATCACAACCTGTACTTTCTACTGCTGTTTGGTAGACTTCTTCACTCAGAAAACAGGTGCATAGGGCACCTGCACTCCATTTACAAGCTAGCTCGCTGCATAAATGATCTTGGACAGGCAGTCCCCTTGTGACCCGCACAACACAGTAGGCTTTGCAAGAGGATGGAAGGGAAGCTTGTGACATGGGCAGTTTTCAAGGGCTTCTAAGTTTGCAATACAGTTCTGTCAGCAGATCTTGAGGATGCTATTGAATTAGCACTGATAGAAGCACTTCTGACGATTTCTAGCAGGCCATGAAAGACTTATGGAGCTTGTTGGGTATTATGCTTCAAGCTTCAAGTTGAGTTTCATTGACTCCAGAAGCTTTGCTACTCTTCATCTAGTTCAGGACAGTTTCCTCCAGAATAGGGCCATTATCTAGTTCTTCCTTAACAGGCTGTTGTTGGATTAAATTAACACACTGCGCATTTGATGCTGAAACAGGATCAAGTGCTCTGACCAGCAACCAAGAACTAACTCCTCTGAGCATGCAGTGTCTCATCAGTGGACTTCCTCGAGAAGGTTTTCAATATGTTGATTCAAAGACAGACTTTAGCATTTCATAGCAGTTTATGTCACCATTATCAATACACAGTTGAGTCTGTTCCACAAGTACAATCCACCAGTCATTCTGGATGTTCCTCAGTTGGAATGAAAAGTTCTGCGTGATGGGAGGCTGCCTTTTTCTCTTGGCTCGCCGCCCCAGGTAGGCCTGATAAGTTGACCATTTTAGTGCTGGATTTCCTTGCCATTTCCCTCAAACCAGTCCCTAAAACCAATTTTCTCTTTGGAAGTATCCACTATTGCTGTGTTCCCAGACTCTTCTGGAGTAAAATCTGCAGTAAGATCATGATGTTCCAGTCTGGTTAGTACATTTGCTTATATTTATCTCTGCAATGGTTGCTGACTCAAAAGATTTCTTTGATGGATTGCCTCTAGGTTTGTCCTTTCACTTAAACTTGGAATGGATCTTCAGCTTCGAGTGAACAGCAGGTAATATGCCAGTTAGCATTGGACATTGATTATAATATGCAAGATGTCCTGCAGGCAACGCTGATGCACCAACATGTAGTTGATCAGGTAACAATGTTTCGATATGTCCACGTCAGCCAGATCTGAGAAGAAAGGCATTGGTTCTTGAAACTGCTTTGCTGCAGAGTGTTCCAAGAGTAGACCACCCCTTTGCACTGCACTTTCCAAACCCATGGTTTCGACGCAGTCCCTTCCATGCCAGGTTTTCATGATTAACTCTGGCACTGAAATCACGAAGGATAAAAATTTTGTCCTGGAAGTGTTCAAGATGTAGAACTTGTCTTTTTCAACTGGGTTAACCTTCATAGTTGAAGCGTGGTGTTAAAAATTGCATGCTGCTGGTTTTGGGGGAGAAAGCCCTTGGACATGATGTGCTCAGAATGGCCAGAATTGGCAGTTTAGCAGTGGGTTTTCTTTACCATGAAGCCCACACCAAGAGGTGTTCTTCACTTTGAGGTTTAGTCGACAAATAGACAATGCAGCTAGTTTTTTTTTCTGGAGGGGGGGTCTAGGCCCGAAACGTCAGCCTTCCTGCTCCTCTGATGCTGATTGGCCTGCTGTGTTCATTCAGCTCTACACCTGGTTATCTCAGATTCTCCAGCATCTGCAGTTCCTACTATCTCTGAATGCAGCTAATAGTATGTTTTGTAAGGCTTCCTTTCTCAGCAAAGTGAAACTCACTCAGTTTTAGTTGATCAATGTTTAGTCTGGTTAATGCATGGGCTACAAGCGCTGATTGTTTTGGGGACAACCGTTGTTACCAGGGTCAAGCATTATTTTTGCATTCCAGCAGGCTAGTTGCAGAATTTCTTTTCTTTTCCCACCATTTCAAGTGTTTGGGAATTTGTGTTTTCTTCTGTTGTAGTTTGGCTACATTAAGAAATGCCTGTTCACCACGGCAAGCCAACTGGGTGGTAAGAAGATAAGGACTGGCTTAAGGCCCTTTCCAACCCTGAAGCAAACAGTGTCACCCCTCAAATAGGCTGCATAGGCACTCGGAGTGCTACTAGGTGATGATGTAATCACTTGCTTATCAAAATGATCAACATCCTGAGCCACTTTTTGTAAAGTTGGAACCGCATCTCCCAGTGTTGCTTTACACCTGCAGTTAAGTCTGACTGACTCAGGGATAGGAGACCGCAGTAGTCAATGAAAATAAGTTTGCGGTGAATGTATGCACTCAAACCAGATATACTAACTTTGAGCCACCACTAGACTTGCACTTACAGCCTCCACTGAAGATGGTTATGATTAACTGCCTGAAAATTGAAGCAGCCACACAGCAGCATCTCAACAGGAAAGGAGCAAAATGTTATAGGGATACAAATACAAAAAAATCACTAAAAAGAGTGATGGAGTTTAATGACAGCATGTAAAATTAAAACAAATAAGCATTGGGTTCATTTCCAGATGGATAGAATAGAAATTATAAGTTCAGTTAAACTTAAATCGAACCTTGGTTTTACTACATAATCTTGTAGTTATAAAGGCAGCTATGGGGGCACAAAAGAAAAGGCAAAGAAAATTAACAATTTTGATACCAAAACAGAGATTATATGTAATTGGAAAAACTGAACAAGCTAAGATTGTTCCTCTAGAAAAAAAAAAAGAGAAGAACAAGGGTGAGCAAGGAGTATTTAAAGTTTAAGGGGTTTGATATGGTAGCCACAGAGCGAGAGAAAAAAAAAGCTAGAAATACTCAAATTCATGCATTATCTGAGGAGAGAGAAAAAAGTTACCATTTCAGATTCATGATGTTTTACAGGAAACTTTGAATGGAATTCAGATGAAAGATCAAATGCCTAAAGCAGTCACTTGCTTTTCCCTCCACAAATGTACCAGCCGATTTTTGGGGGACGGGTTCCAAACAAAAACCAGAAGCCATAAATACAAAATAGTCACCGATAAATCCAACAGGTAATTCAAGAGAAACCTCTACCTGAAGAATGGTTAAAAATGTGGAACTCAATACCACAAAGAATAATCGAGGTGAAAGCATAGATACATTTAAGCTGCTAGATTAAACACAAACAAAATAACAGCTCTGTGCTGTAACTTGTATGACTTTCCAGACAGTAATACTGCTTAATTCAAACACAGACATTTATAGCCAGTATGCTTGTAACTGTACCTTTACTTGAAGTATATAATAGAGCAGCTTGAAATGAGACAAGCTGCACATCTACCAGATTCTCCTCTATTGACATCTGCACTGCAAACCCTGCATCAGGATTTATATTCGGCAAGGACAGCAAGTCTGTAGAACGCACAAAGAAGTTTCCATGGAAAGTATGGATAGCAAGACCTGATGAAAAAAAAATGTACATATTTCAATTTCATAATGGAAAATATGGCATCATACAGCAGTTGCTAAAATTTACAAACTGTCAGGCTACGTTCAATAGGGGTTTCTATATCGCTCCATAATTATCCCATTGCAGTTTTAACTGTAGATTGAAGATTGCTAGCAGCTAGACAATATTGACAAATGGGACCGACCTTTAGTGCACCGTATCCTCATCACTGCTTCAAAACCAATCTTTCTAGTCAAGTAACGCTTCAGGTCTTTCTCAAACTTCTCCACCAGGACAGGATTGTGTTTGTGATGATAAGATGGATAAGAGTAAATGCAACCAGCCGAGTACTTTGAAATACAAGCTGAAAAACATGAACAATTTCCATTTTTCAAATTTAGTTAGAAGGGCTCTTGAAAACAAGAATTAAGTACAAGAGGTGGGTGATTAAAAGCTTGACCAATAAGAAGGACATTAACAAGTGGAGACAGATAAATAAAATCTTTTGCAGAGAATTCTACAGTGAGGGCCTTAACAGATGCCGGCATGGTTGATATTGCTAGGCTAAAGTCAGTACGGGTGCACAAGAACCTAGAATTGGAGGAAAGCAGGACTTGAGGTTACAGAGCTGTGAAGAAGGAAAAAAGCCATGGACCGATTTGAATAAGATGAGAACTTTACAACTGAGACACTGCTTGATGTCAAAACTGTTCAGCAAACACTGCAGTGATCTGTGAACTCAGGGATAGAACAGTCATGAGATTTGGACAAGCTTAAGGTTAGGAGTGTAAAATGAATAGTTGGCCATGACAGCTTGTTAAATCTGGAGATAACAATCACAGATGAGGGTATCAGCAGCAGAGAAGCGGAAGCAGGGGTGGCAATGCATACTGTTCTTTAGTCAGACTTTGTTGTTATTTGTGACAGTGAAGATGGATTAAGAACCTCAACTCAAGGTCAAACAGGCCACTGCAGTTATAGACTGGCAGGAGTGGTGGAATGCATTTTGAGAAATAAACAGAAGTTTTACAAAACTTCCTTGTTAATACCATTACCGTACAACTTAGTATAGTGGTTAATTCCCACACTGTAAACTCTAGTCTTAGTCTTACTTACTTAGCGATGCTAAATCAGAGTATTGACCATTCAGCATGAAGAGGTCCACTGCTATCTGCTGTCCTGAACAGTCCAGGGCAAGCTTCTTATAGAAATCAATCGCTGGAGAAAGGTGCTGAACATCCTAATTTGTTTTTTTCAAAAAAAAAAGTACGTTAAAATGGAACGCATTTAATGCTTGTGTTACCAAATTAATTTAATAAGAGCTACCAGCTTCAGAAATAATCTAAACAGCCACTCTGCAAAATAAGTCATCGATACTTTTCACCTGTAGTCTTCCAAAAATTTAAGTTACTTCATATCATATTCAAGACAACCATAGCTCAACTTATATTGGAAGAAATATAATGTAGTTAACATGAGGATTCCAAAGCTTTCATTCAGGTTCACAGAGTATAAGGGAAACAATAGACAAATTTGCATTTCTAAATTCATGTAGAAATAGCTCATACATTTACCATCAAAAATATGCTCATGTACAAGGCTATGTAGAAACTTCTCATGAAGACGGATTTCCTATTTGGGCTATAGACTTAAATTTAGTTAGGGAGAGGGATCATCATTATGTATTAATAAAATTAAACTACTTGAAACCATTTGTTTTGAACAATGATACTTGAGGTTTTGTCGGAGAAGTTAAGACCTATGCTACTTCAAGCAAACGCAGGAGACAATTTCCATACATCCTATTAATAATACAGTGGTACTTTAACATTTGAAAGTTACAGACTAGGAAAGCAAAATGTTACAAGGATATTTTTCCTCTTTAAACTAAAGTACTTAAATGATACTTCAATTGCTCTCAACTAGCCAATTTAGCCAACAAGCTAATATCAAAGAGAATTAAACACGTTAACAAAGCAAAATAACATATCACAAGTACATATCACACATATCCTGAAAGACAAACCAGTAAGATCTGATCAATTAAGAAACCTGAAAGTTGGTCACAATTTGAAATGTCTTAAAAACTGAATAACGGAAAGTAACTTGCCATAGAAAACAAAACTAATTTTCTTTGGAAAAAATACACTTACAGTATTGCTCAAATATTCAAAAGTAGATCCTACCTTTAAGCTGGATCTCTGGTTGGGATCCTCCCTTGACTTTAAAGCACCTACGCCTAATGAAGGTAATTGTGTTTGGAAGACAGAGGCACGACCACCAGTAGGAGACATCAACTTGAACGCAGCTTGTAATGCAGGACCAAGGGCACTCTGAGTCTCCAACGTATTGCTAAACATTTGTGGTAAAGTCCTCAGCAAATCTTGAATTAACTGAAATCATAGAAAAACAAACCATTGCTTTAGATCAAGATTACATGCTAAACATGAACTGGATTGATGGGTCTTTAATTTCCTGTAATAAAACAATTGCTTCTTTTCAAATAAGAACGTATTAATATGTGGAAACCAATTCATAGTCTGAATCTGACATGTATCACATATTCAAAAACTCGAAGCAAGAAGTTTGTCACAAATTACTACACATTTTCAACAAGAGGAAGTTGTAAAGTTTTATACTTGTCATGAGTTTCAGCAGCATTTTTATTTTGATTAGTTGGGTGCCAAAGTAATTAATGTAATCCAAGTTAGTCAACCAAGTAATTCACAATGTTAGTGTTCCTGTTTGCTCAGTGCAAACTACACACCTTCTTGCTATTAGGACATACTTCATTGATCCAAGGCCAGAGCGTTCTGTTTAAGTTGGCAAGAGCTCTAAAGCAGAGGACTTCAGCCAACCAAAAACACAGCTTGGTCAGCACAGTGCATTCCTGTTGCTTGACCATTAGGGTGCTGGTTTACAAGACTGGTTTATTACCTAGAGCTGAATGACAGATTCGAAACCCAAATGAAAAACTGGTTGGTAAATCAACAACAAAAACAGAAATTGCTGGAAAAGCTCAGGTCTAGCAATATCTGTGGACAGAAATCAGTGTTAACGTTTCGGGTCAAGGAAGAGTCCCTTGACCCAAAACGTTAACTCCGATTTCGCTCTCTAGTCGCTATTAGACCTGCTGAGCTTTTCCAGCAATTTCTGTTGGTTCCTGATTTACAGTATCTGCAATTCTTTTGGTTTTTATATGGTTAAAAAAAGTGGTCTAGAGATTTGCGTCATTCACGTATTAGACTATTAAGTCTGCTAATTTGCTTCATTTCAACATCCTGCCACCAAATGAAGCCATCTTAAGGCCCCTTCAACTGCAAAAGGATTCCTGCTTACCAATGAATCCCTCCTATCCAATAAGAATGATTCTCAGTCACCAGGTTAAACATGGACATGAGCTCTCACTAGTCAAACAAAAATGCAAGAGAATGACTCCCCATAAAATTTATGGAGATTGTCACTAGACAACATACAACAAACAGCTATCAAACCACCTAATTTTTGAATCAACTGCTACCTAGAACTTTAGAAACCCCAGTTCCAAGGTCTTCAGCAGTCTCCAAATAACGTACATAGCATCTGATATGCTAAGTCTTGGATTTTCACAAAATCACTTTTGACTGTGGTATTAAGACCTAAACAGGAGTTTAGCTTCTGAGCATTTCCTGCATTGATAACCGTACTTATTCAATCTTGGTCATTAGATCCTTTGGAGTGAGATTTTGGATATGCTGATTAAAGAAATGATCAATAATTCTTGATTTAAAAAAGCTGTCACTTTCATACAAGTGCTTGCCAAGTGTTCCAGTTACAGCTTTCAAGATCCCAAATTCATATTCATAAAAATATAAATACTTCACATTTAAATACTTACCTCTTTGCTTTCATTCAAGTTAACCAACAAGTTGTCTGGCGTTGGTACGAAGATATCTGCAAAAGACGAACGTTATTTCAGCTCGAGCTGGGATCTTCAGTTTGAAGCAATTTTCCTACTGCACATGCGAATATGTCCTCATACCTATAGTAATACTTAGAACAGATTACCTGAGCATTCTCACAATGTGAGAATCCATGTCCAAATTGACTTCACACTTTCTAAAATACAGTAAGGATGGTCAAAAGCTTGGTCAAAGTAGTACGTTTTAAGGAGCGTACGAAAATAAGACAGCAGGCTGGAGAGTCAGACGTATTTCCAAAACAAATACCAGGGCTCAGGACGCAAACAGCAAAATGAGGGGTTTGATTTTTGTTTATTCTTGGGGACTGGTGAGACGAGAGACAGGAGGCTGAAGGCAGGGAACTAGAATGTTCAGGGAAGTGTGGCATTGAAAGGTCGAGAGTTGCATGATAAAGGAAGGGCAAGGCTTTGTTAGGAGTTAACAAAAGAATTTTAAATTCAGATGTTGAAATCATTGAAAGTACAGATGAGCAAAGGTGCAGCTGTGGATGGGATTTGTTGCAGGATAAAAAACAGGCTGCAGAATGTGGGATGAGCTAAAGTTTAAAAGATGCTGGAAGGCTATCCTGTATTGGAACAACAGTGTCTGAAGATGACAAACGACGAGTGAGGATTACAGAGACAAAACTAAAACACAGTATTCTGGTAGAGCCTTGAAAACAATAAAATATTACAAGAT